TTGTATCTGCAGTTTGTTGGAAACAAATGTCCAATGTTGTAGTAGCAGCAAATTCTCAAGGAACTATTAAAATATTAGAATTAGTTTAAAGTTAATTATGAATTCTATAATCCTTAGCAGATGTTGATATACATATATATTTTGAAATTTATTCAATTAAGTGCTTAGGCACAAATAACAACGAGAAGTGAAAATTTATTCTAAATGTTACAGTAATTTGTTGTAAGCAAAATTGAAAAAGAAAAAAATTTAGAATATATTAAAATCTAAATTATCATATTAGAGACTGATTTACTTGAGAAAGTAATATTCTGCATACCAAACAGCTCAAATACTTCATTATGTTTTTATTAAATATTTCAGTACTGTTATTTATATCATTCTGATTTAATTGTTTTTCAATTTAGATATATTTTTAATAATAGACTGAATTTTAATAATAAATAATTCTGAAGATATATTAGTATATATGCATACGATATTTTTTCATTTAAAACATGGCCTTTTATAAAATTATATTAATTTAGCTATGATTGAAATTAATGTATCTCTATAATAATTATTAGCAATGTTATTAGCACAATTCAGATATAATAAATCATTATTAGCATAATTAATAATTAGCATTTATTAGCGCAAAACTTTATTATTATTACTTATTATTATATTATTATATTAATTATCTGTATTTTTGTATTTTTTATTCTTAATTACATAATTAGTTTTATATGATAATAATATTTGTTCATAATTAAATCAAATAAGTTATTTAATAATATATAGATTTTTTAGCTCTATAAATATAAGATTTGTGAATGTTGAAAGAAATATAAAATTTTATAATTCCAAACAGTTTGTAATGTAAAAAATATTTTTGTGACATATAACAATATATAAAAAAGTAAAATATTTTAAGTAATTACTTCATAATAATTGTGTGACATAACTTTAATTACATGTGATCCTTATAATAAATCTTGCCAAAGTAGCCTAATAGTTTAAATTTGAAAAGTAAATATGTATAAGTTAATATAAATAATATTGACACTATCATTCAATTCATTTTGTGCCAAGAACAGAACAGAACAGTTACAGAAATAATAAATGTGCTTAAATTGCATTAAGTTCCTATTATCAGAATTATAATCACTATCTTATATATTAGTATCAGAGCTAAGGAAAGATAGAATTTATAATAAAAAAAATAATAAATTAATGTTTTTTTTTTTACTTTCAGAAATATACTATTATAATTAAATAAGTTAATTATAATTAATGATAATTGCTTTGAAGAATATTTTTGAAGAATATTAATAATTATAGATATAATTATTATTTTATGAAAATAAAAAATTTATTTTTGAAAATATTATTTCACTTAGCTCTGAATTCTAAGGAAATCTATAACTCATTTTTAAATATCAATATGTCAATTTTTATAATAATTTCTTTACAATTTACATAATAATATTTAAGCAAATAACAAAAAATATAAAACCCCATGACAAATTTACATACTTAACTTTGTGTGTGTGTGTATATATATGTATTAACAAGAAAGCAAATTTTTTTTAATATGAATATAATGTTACATTTTATTGCATATATTCAAAGATAATTCTTTATTGTTATAAATTCTTATCAAATAATATCAAAATATATTAAATATAATTATCGTTTACTGTTAATGTATTACATGAGTGCAAATCAATTATCTCCATATAAATCAGAGAATATAATTGTGAATTAATATGTAGTTCTTGTGAAAATTGTGAAAAATAATTGTAATTTTAATCTAACTATTAGTTAGTACAATTATTAGAGATATTAATTAGAGTAATTTTAAACGAATATATTCTAGGATATATGTAAAGATAGTATATTTTTAGATTGTATTTTAAAATTGCAGATGCTATAGCATGTGCTGATACATGTCCAAGACGCCTAGAATTATTGTAAGAAATAAATTTATGAATTTATCTCAGTATGTCCTTCAAAAACTTTTTCTGATTTTATGTACATATCCCTTTTATGTTATCAATTTATATTTATTCTATTGAATAATTAATTTTAAATAATATTTCAATACTTGTACTACTACAGAGCAGGTCCGAAAATTCCCAAAGGTCATGCTAGAGTATTTTGGGGTTTGGATGAAAAAGATTATGCAGGAATTGCAGTTGTTGGCCTTGGAAAAAAAAATCTTGGCATAAATCAGCTTGAAGAAATACATGAAGGAAAGGAGAATATACGTATAGCGGCGGCAGGTACATATTTTATGAGCAGATAAATATAAAAAAAAAAAATCAAATATATCTATTAGATTATAAATTAATAAATTATAACTAATAGATTATATTCTTTTTATATCATATTTTAATTAATTAATATAATAATATTGCACTAGCTGGTTGCCGTGCATTAGATGCAGTTGAAATAAAAGATATACAATTAGAAACTTTAGGAGATGCAGAAGCTGCAGCAGAAGGAGCTGCATTATCAATGTGGTTTTATCAAGGATTGAAAAATAAAGAGAAACAGAAAATACTTCCAAAAGTTTCATTGTATGGTCAAGAAGGAGAGTGAGTATTATATACTTTGACATATATATTTTATATATATTTTATATATTCATTTATATATTCATTTATATTTCTTAACTCAATAAAAATTATTTTTTCAAGGGAACAATGGCAAATTGGAAGCATTAAGGCTCAAGCTCAAAATTGGGCACGTCATTTGGCAGATACTCCAGCCAATTTAATGACACCTACAATATTTTCTACAGAAGTGCATACAATTCTTACTAAATTAGGAATTACTGTACAAATTCACAATGAAGAATGGGCAGAGCAGAAAAAAATGGGTTCTTTTCTTAGTGTATCTCATGGTAGTTGTGAACCACCAAAATTTATTGAAATTCACTATAAAAATGCTGATAATAATTCCCAACCAATTGTCTTTATTGGAAAAGGTGTTACCTTCGATGCTGGCGGCATCAGTCTCAAGGTAAAATAAAATAAATTTAAATATTTAATATAAATTATATATAATTTAATATAAATATATAATTTTAGCCTTCAGCTGATATGGATGAAATGCGTGCAGATATGAGTGGTGCTGCATGTGTAGTAGCTGCTATTCGAGCTGCTGCAGAACTTAAACTAAAATTGAATGTTATTGGTTTGATACCTTTAACTGAAAATTTACCATCTGGAACTGCAACTAAGCCAGGAGATGTTGTAATTGCAATGAATGGAAAGAGTATCATTGTAGATAACACAGATGCAGAAGGTAGACTTATTCTTGCAGATGCCCTTTGTTATGCTCAAGAATTTAATCCAAGGTAATAGATACATAAATTAGAAAATATATAATAATAAATACGATAATATAGATATTCATTAAATATCTTTTGTATATAGTTTTATCTTGGATATTGCAACATTAACGGGTGCTATGAGAATTGCCTTAGGTGGAGCAGCAACTGGAGTTTTCACAAATAATAGTACATTGTTTGAAAAATTAAAAAATGCGGGCACTCTTTCTGGTGATAGAGTATGGAGATTTCCACTTTGGCAACATTATACGGATGAAATGACAAGTATGAAAGAAAATATTATTTTTAATAATGGAAAATAGTAATATTTTAAATAATATGATATTATTTGCAGAAAAAGTTAAATCAGCAGATGTGAGAAATGTTGCAAAAATTAAAGGTGGAGGTTCATGTACTGCAGCTGCATTTTTACGCGAATTCGTATCGAATAATACTCCATGGTTACACTTAGATATTGCAGGAGTAATGGGTCCTGGACCTGATAAATTACCATATATACCAGCGGGAATGACAGGTCGTCCGACTCGTACGCTGATCCAGTTTTTACAGGCATTGTGTTAAAATTGACAACTATTTTAAGTTGTATGGTGCAAGTTTATCTATTTTTATATATACGTATACATATGTGTATATACACATGTATATATATGTATATATAATTTCATTTTCTATATAGATATATATATCTATATATATATGTTTACCTCCCGTCTTATATTCAGACATTTATACAAATTGATTAGAATTAATACAACGAATTTAGTAAATCGAAATATATAAGAAAATTAATTAACATGCAATCATTATATTTGTGTACAGAATTATATCTTTGCAGTATAGCAATACTTAGTACAAATATGATGAACTTTTTGTACAGCTTACTTTATTCACATTATATAAAGTATTATATTTAATGAAGCAATTGGATAGTAACAATCAATAATCATAAAAGAATAAAAAGATTCAATATTATCAAAAAAGTTTAAATGTATAATATCGTATAGAATAGAATATAATATTCTTAATTTGTACAAAGTATAGCTTAATAATAATAAAAATATATATTTATGGGAGGTATATTGATTTTAGACAATTTATACTTTATTTGCATTTAAAATACATTTAATAATTTAATCGATATCGTGTAAAATACACGCAACTTGTAAAAGTGTTAATAATTATTCGAACTTAATATAATAAAATACAATATGACTTATTGTAAAAAAAGTCGTACTTCTAATTTTATATACATGAATTAATTTATCTTAATACTGTAATCATTGCGATTTTTTATGTACAATTTCTGCTACTTATTCCCTTGAACATTTTAAAATGATATATCAATTATTTTGTTTTATGAATATATTATATATTCTTATGTAGTTTTCAGAATTATTTATAGTATAAAAAACAAATGATATAAAACACCAAAGTAAAAAATCAAGGAAATTAATATAGAATATTTTTTTACGAGGAAAATAATAATATATATTCATTATTTATATTAATATATGATTTAATAAAACTGGTATTATTTATTATTTTTAATTAAAATCCCAATTTCTAAAAAAGATTAATTAATCTTTATCATAAATATTTTAATATACATATTCATATAAGTGTATAAAATCATGCACTTAATATTAAATTAATGAAGCACTTCATTTTTTTACTAAAGAAAGTAAAACTTATATATTCATAAGAATAATATTCTGCGATCACAATAATTTTAGATGTAGGAACAATATTTTACAATAATAAATTAATTTGTATAATATTCATGTACAAGATGGTGGAGGCTGCTGCTGTGGAGAGGGAAGGGGCGCTGCCGCAGCAGCTGCAACTGCGGCAGCAGCAGCATACGACGACGGGTCCGAAGTATCGAGAAGTGGTGGTGGCGGAGGTAAACTTCCTCCTCCGCCTCGTCCTCTTCCTCGGCCTTTTCCTCGACCCCGACCCCGGCCCCTCCCCCTTCCGCGTCAACTCCGCCTTTCGGGCATTCCTATATTGCTCGTTGTCTTTTCTAGGAAAGCGAGCGGACCCTGAAGTGTACTACTTCCTACACCTGCAACAGGGAATCCTGCTCGTGTACCTGTCACTCCTACTGCTCCTTGTGTCATAAACATTCCTTGTTGTCCTACTGCAACTCCAACTCCTTGAAGACCTGATGTAGGAGGTGCTCCAGATCCTTGTTGCACCTGCAATTTTACATATATTTTTTTCATAATAATCTTATTATTGTTAATGCAATTCTTTTTTTTTTTTAATAAACTTTTATTATAAAAAATGATGCTGAATGAAAATTAAGCAATTAAAAAAGTTAAAAATAGCAATGATATTACTAACAGATAATAAATTTTAGAAATGCTGCGTATACACATGCAAGATATTTAAGTAAATAGATTTATAAAAAAAATAAAGAATTTAATTCTTACAAACCAATAGGATATATTAGGAACAGTAATTATATAGGCAAGGGAAATGAAAGAAAGTACATTTTTTGCCATGAATAAAGATTTATTCTGCAAACATCATTTGCATGTAAAAATATAAATAAAATGGCATCATTTTTTTGCAATGATTCAATTTATGAATGCTGCAATATTTTAAATTAATGTAACTTTAAATATTATATAAAAAAAATACATATCAACATTTTTAAATGTTAAAAATAATAAGAAAATTAATAAAATTAATTTCTTAACATGTAGCTTAATATATATATATGCATACATACATATAAAAAATATATATACATATATATATATATATATATATATATATATATATATATACATGTACACATATTTTTTTAATTTTTTTTCTTGATAGCTCTTAACATTGATGCATACATGCATACATGTTTACATGCAAAAGATATTCATTGTATTGTAAACAAGAAAATTTATGAATATTAAATGATATGTAAAATTTATAACAATTTTTAATATATGAAATATAAATAAATATTCTATGTTATATAAAAAAAAATGAAAAAAAGTGTTAAAATATTATAAACGAATATGTATACACATATTTATGGATACATATTATAATTTTGAAAAATTATAATGTGATATAATTGAAATAACACTACCTGCTCCTAATATATTTATAGGTAGTAGGGATTATCAGGTTTTCTATTAATGTTAAGCAAATGTGATATGCTTATTTTTTTTTTTTTATTATTACTGTTATCAGATTTATTATATCAGTTTTTGGCTAAATATTTGTACATTTTAATAGCAATTATTTTGGCACCATTTTACATATTTTGTAAGTATGTATATTTGATACTTTCCTTTTCCATAAATGAAATTAAATTTATTTTTATAATTTTATATCGCAGCTACTAATAAAAGCACTTGAAATTTTTAGTTCTTACAGATTACATTTCTGTTGATAAGAATTATAAGGCACTGTTATATGCAATACTGGTATACATTGCTTTTGTGCAATAGGACTGAATGGTTTTGTATCTTAAGTAGTTATTTAAAAAAAAAAGAGCAAAAATAGTTTTTAAAATTTTGATAAGTATTTCAATCATTACATAACAATTTAATCTATTTGTATTTTATACATTCACACTCACATGCATACACAGAAACATTCAATCATACAACATCAATATTCATTCAATGTTTTAAATTGTAACAAATAATATAAAAATCTAATAATAATAAATATATCATTTTGAAATAAGAATATTACAGTGAGTATAAATAAGCTTGTGATATATGCATAACTGCAATACTTTTTTAATTAAGTTCAGTAATTTATATTAGTAATGTTTCAATTTACAACTAAAATGAGTCAGAAAGAGAGAGAGAGAGAGAGAGAGAGAGAGAGAGAGAGAGAGAGAGAGAGAGAGAGATTTTAAAGAATGATGATTTAAGATTTAACTTCTAACTATAACTGCTACAGCAAAAGTAATTTTTTATAAATGTACAATTTTCGCTGTCGCCCATATTTTTTTTAAAATATTAAATTATATATATGTTATTTCAAAAAAATGTTTTCAACATTAATTTTAAACAGCTGCCTGAATAGAAGAGTTTCAGCTTTGCTCGTAACGGTATTACTTAAATACCTGTTGCTGATGAAGTTGTTGTTGCATTTGATGTTGCTGAAGATGTTGCAATTGTTGTTGTTGTTGTTGTTGAAGTTGTTGATGTTGTAATATTTGTTGTTGTTGTTGCATTGTTGTATTTCCACCTCCATTGGCACTTTGTTGGTTTTGTCCACTTTGAGTACCATTTGGTAAACCTAAAGTATATTAAAATTATTTATTACGCTATCATAATAGATATTTTTTTTACAATTCTTACCATTAGGTGCTGGACCTTGAGCTGGAGACTTTGCCCAACCTTGTAAATCTGCTAATAAATTCTGCCACACTGTAATTTTATCATAATGTCTTTTTATGAGATCCTCTTTACGTGCTAATTCTACTCGAAGATCATTGATATCTTCTTTTACTACTAATTCTGGTTTTAATGCAGATAATAAAAATCTTTTTTGCAAAAAGAAAGCTTCCATTTGTCTTGCCAGATCTATAAATCTCAATGTAACTTGTTCAACTTCACTACGTGCTTCTTCTTTATCCACAGTCAAACCACCAGACACTCCAATTCCATTGTTTCCTAACCCTTCGTCTTTCGTTATTAATATACTCAAACATTGCTGTAAATTGCATTTTATATAAAAAAAAAAAAATAAATTTCATCAAAATATGGTTTTAAAAAATCAATATGATAAAAATTAAAATATTTTTAATATTATACCTGAAATGCTTCCTCAAATTCATCGATAAGATTACCGTTACCATTAGTGGGTGTCGCCATTATACTCGTGATACTTAAACATGTATATAATTTATTGACAATTATAGTCAATTTTTTTTAGAGTTTGTCTATTAAAGATATATTATAAATATTTGAAATAGAATTAAAAAATTCATAATTAATATATACACATATGAATAGAATTTGTCATATGAATAGAATGATAATAAAATAATTAAATTCATAATTAAATAAAATATATACAATTATTAATAAATATATGTTCAGTGTAAATTTTGCTAATTTTTTATTGTGAGATATAATTATAAGACTATATAACATATTAAATTTGTGGATTATGGATTTGTCGCATTTATATCTACAACGTTAATCAAATATGTAATATTTCATATGATAATTTATAAATCTCAATCATTAATATTTTCGTATTATATCTTATTGGTTATTGATGATTGATTATATTTATCAATACATTAATTGTTTATGATTGATAAATATATTCGTATAAATTTTATTTAAAAATATAAAAAAATATATTAATATAAATTATATTACTTGTATTTATAAATGTAATTTTTACTTTTTTGCTAATAGAATATTTTATGTTTAATTATTTTAATTAAATATAAATTTTGTTAATTATATGTTATTTGGTAAAATTAAAAAATTATTGCTATTATTTACATCTATATATTATGTAAAACATAAGTATTTTACAGCAAATTAAAATAAAAAAATATATATAGCAAACTTTAGAAATGTAAAATTTTTGATTACTCAAAATTTTATTAAATCTGAAAATTCCATTAAATCTGGCTCATCTTCTGGAGGTGGTTTATACCATGGATCTTCTAATTCCCACAAATCAGGAGGTAAATGTTCTCTACCTGGTGGTGGTCCACATGGTTCACAAGGTGGATAAGTTTGAATATCAAAAAATCTTTCTAATTGTTCAGGATCAAAGGGTTCATATTGATAAGGTTCTGGTAATTTAGGAACAGGAGGAATATGAGCTTTTATTCTTATGCCTTCTCGTTCTTCCCAAGCAATATCTTCTTCTAAAGGTACTGGTACATCTACTGGTACTTCTTCTGGTTGTTCTGCAGCTGCTTGTAATCTTTCAAGTCTTTCAAATTCTTCTTCTATTCTTTTAGCTGCTTCTCTTGCTTGTATCTCAGCTTTAACTTTTCTCATATGTTCACGAGCAGCAATAATATCTGGATGGTCTATACCATATTCAGGTTGTAAAAATTCTTCATGTAATTCAGGAACTCTATATAAGCATCATTATTATTATGTAAATATAATGATTATAAAAATTTTATTTTATTTTATATATGAATATATGAATATAATGTATGAATATATATTTAATATATGAAATATTACCGCATATATCGTCTTGGAGGAACAATTTCAGGAGCAACAATAGATGGAGGAGGAGTGATATCAAATAATTCAGGAGGAGTGATATCTTCAAGAGCGAAAGCACTAGCACCAACATTTGCAGCCGCAATAACAAAATCTCTCCTAGCTTGTTGCAAATCTGCTAATTTACTTTGAACTGCTGCAGATTCTGCAGCATCTTGCTCATTAAGAGTTTCACTGTCAAAAGTGAAATATGCTTTGTTATTATTGCAGAAAAAAAAATTTTTATAAAATCACCTGATCACTTGAATTGAACGACTAGCTGCTTGTGATATTTGTGTTTCTTCTACAGGTGGTTGTGCTACACTAATAATGGTAGTACGTTCTTCATTTACTGCTCCAGGAGGTATTACAATATTATTTATTACACCATCACCAACTGGTTCAGCTTGAATTACATCAGCATTCATCATTTTAGCTAAATCAGTGGTTTTTTTAGGTATAGGTTTCTTTGGAGTAACAGGTCTTCTAGGAGGAGTAGGTACACGGGGCACACTAGGTCCAGCGACTGGAGTTACAGGTCGTGGAGTTACAGCCGGAGGTGCGCGTGGAGGACGCTTTGGTGGTATTCTTTCCCTACCAAATCTAATTTAAAATAATTTTATACGATAATGTTAAATTATTTAATTTATTTTCTTATATATTATTTAATATTTCAATATAATAATATAATACAAATAATAAAAATTAGAAAAAATTAATTTATTATTTATTTAAAAATTATTGATAATTATTATTATCGTTTATTATAATTAAATTTATCGTGGCAACCTGGGATCACCTCCTATTGGTGCAGGTGTTCTCTTAGGTACTTGAACTTCACGCTTACGTTCATATTCTTGTTTAAATTTTTCAGCTTGTTTTATTCTAGCTAACATTGCTTTAGTCATTCCTGGTTTAGCAAAGTCCAGTTTTTTTGGTTCAGGCCTAATGTACCGTTTGCGTACTTTTAATGGTTCTGGTGGAGGAAGTCTTGCAGCTCTTTCTTGCATCCTTTCAAGCTCTCTGGCAGTTTTGGCTTGACGAAGTTGTTCAGTTCTTGTTAGACCTGGACGTCGACTCATTTTGTCCTTTGTAAATTAATGATAGGAAAATAGAGAAAAATAAGAATAATAATATCATATATATTTTGTAATAATTTTAAATTTATATATTATACATTAATACATAATAAAGATTCATTAGATTATGCAAATAATACAAATATATAATAACCTGTTCAATAACTTATTTCTTTCTGTTGATGAATGTTATTTTGGTTGATGTACTAAAAAAATTGTTAAGTTTTCATATTGTAAATATTTTGTGAAATTGATGATCGCGGTTTGTTGATGCGATCAAAATGTTACATACTCAATTAATTTAAGTGTTTAATAATTACTAAAATTTTAAATGTTAATAAATCGAAATGTCATATAATTTGGCAGGTAGAATAAAAATTCATAATAAGAATTGCTTTTGTTTTTAGTATTATAGATATACATATATATTAAATATCTATATATTATATATAAATATGAAAAATAGATATTATATATATATATATATATTATATATATATTATTTAAAAAAATGAAAATTATATAAAATACAATGAAAAATTATGTCTAAATAAAAGATAAAATTCCTTGAAATATAGAAAAAAAAATTAGATATCAAGTATAATAATAATTCTTTATATTTTTTAAATTCTTTTCTCTATATAAATATATATTTTTGTTTTATATTTTGTATGTTATGTAAACATATTGCTATATTATACACATGTATATATAAATGAAAATAGATCAATAAATATAGATGATAAAAATTGTAAAGAAAATGCAGCTATTTAAATATTGATATAATTTAAATAACTTCAATCGATTATTATGAAATTTTCGATATCTTTAATCAACATGAATCGATATACAATCGATATGTTAGAAACGTAAGTTCACATATACTTCAATTGAAATTTTTGTTAAAGTTATTTCTTCTTCTTTAACAATGCCAACTAGGGCAGAACGCCCTAATTTGATACCTTTTCAGGATACTCAATATAGTTGGACGGATGATTTGCCAGTATGTAAACAATCAGGTATGTAAAAATTTAGATATATAACCTATCAATGATTAATGTTTCAAATATCTCATCAGGAGTAGGATTCTCTACAAATCAAATTTATCGTGAGGATGGATATCGGCAAGAGGAACATCCATTTGAAGATCGTAGCTTTCATTGTCGTTATGACGATTCGACATTTCTTTATGGAGTATTTGATGGTCATGAAGGTACAAAAATTGCAAATTTTGCTATGCAGCGAATGGCTGCAGAAATTTTACTTGGACAATTAAATGGTAAATCAACAGATGAAGAAGTTAAAGATGTTCTTAGGTAATAATATAGTAAAAAATAAAAATTATAAATTAACATTTGTATATTATTATAAGAAAAGTAAAATTATATAATTTATTATTTTAGACAGGCATTTATAGCTGTAGAAAGAGGATATTTTGATTCAATTGGAGATCTTTTGGCTGAACGAACTAGTTTACAATTTGATATACCTGATGGATTAAATTCCTATGAAACATATCAAAAATTTCCTCACTTGGTTAGATAAATATATTATGATATACTATATAATATGAATTTTATTAATATTAAAAATTAATCATATTATAAGTTTTTATATAGGTTGATAAATTAAATGCATTGAATTGTGAGTTATCAGCAGGAACTAGTGCAGTTGTAGCTCTTATATATCGCGGAAGATTATATGTTGCAAATGTTGGCGATAGTAGAGCTTTATTATGCAAGACAGATACCAATCAAGTGTTAAGAGTTGTACAACTAAGTGTAGATCATGATTTAAGAAATGAAGATGAACTATTAAGATTATCTCATTTGCAATTAGATATTGATTCCATAAGACAAGGTTTTAAAATCATATTTAATTAATTAATATTATTCTTATTAAAATATTTTATAATAATATATATTTAAGGATCTCGTCTTGGAAATCAAGAAACTACACGTTGTCTTGGAAATTATCTTGTCAAAGGAGGATATAAAGAATTTGAAGAATTAGCATCTGCTACAACAGAACCTGTTATTGCTGAACCAGAAATTCATGGTGGAATAGAACTTGATGAATCTTGCAAATTTTTATTGCTTATGTCTCGTGGTTTATATAAGTCACTAGAAGAAGTGACTGGAATTGATCAAGTTAATATAAAATTAATTAACTTTGCAGTTCAAGAGGTATGTGAAATAATTGTATATAAAATATCCCATTTGAAGTTTCACACACAATTATTTGCTAAACTATATATTGTTTCAAATAACTTATTCTTTTTTAAAAGAAAATATTCTATAATAATCAATAACCATTTTTAAATGGATGTGCTTTCAAAATTTTGAAAAGATGATTTTTATTTTTTTATATGAAATTATATATTTTTATATAAATAGATTTATAACCATTAATATACCAATAATATAATCATAAATCTATAATTCATTCCAAAATAAATTCATTACTCTACAACATTGGTCTCATTCAGAATAATTCAAGATTATTTAATATTATTTAAAACTGATTTTTGTTTTCTTTTGTCACCCAAAAATTGTTCCTTATTTGCTGTATTTAAATCTTATCTAGGTTGATTGATTAACTAGAAAACATTCCATTTGATATCAAATTATGGATATGATTTTAATATAATAATGCTTCCATACATAATGATTAGTCAAGTTCACAAAACATTGAACAACATAGTTTTATCTAATAAATTATTAATGAGAAATTCTTTTCATTAAGATCATGAATTTAATATTTACAAATTTTTTCTTATGAGACTTTATAAAAGATATAATTTTGGGAGAAAAACTATTCTAATATGATGAAAATATGAAGAATAGAATTATGAATACCTATTTATAAATTATTAAAGTAATACTTAAAAATATCGAACTTTTATTTAAAAAATAAATCAATACATTTATTTTGAATACAAATAAGAAATAAAAAATAATTTCTGATACAAAAAAAGTAAGTTTTAAATAGCATTATAAATTATCTTGAATTACTTTGAAAGACTAAAGTATTATAATTTAATGAATTCGTTTTAGAATGAGCTATAAATTTATATAAAAATATATTTAATTTCGTATAAATAAAGATCATCTTGAAATACGTTAAAAATACGTTCACCTAAAAATTATCATGTGATATCCTCCTAAATAAAAATATAAATATAAATAGAATAAATTTATGAAAGTTTAAGTTATATGAAATATTTTTTAAAATGAATAAATAAAAAAATAATTTGCTTCAAATATTTAAATAATTAACTTCAAATAAAATAGCTTATATATATATTTATAAAATATTTTTGAAGGATCGATTTTAGAGGCTAAAATAAATAGAAAAATTGATATAAAAAAAATTAATTATTTATTAAATTATAAATAACTAAAATTTATGAGAAAATCAATTTAGATGAAGCGAATAGGAAGCGAATAGAAAATAGAATGAGATAATTCTATCTCTATCACATTATTATTTTTGGCTCCGTTTCATTTCATCTAATGCAAACTTAAAGTACTTATAAAAAGCTTAATAAATAAGCTTTAAATTTTTTTATAAAGTTTTTTATTTTAGCTTCTAAAAATGCTTCACAAATATATCAATATTCTATATAATATAATAATATATTCTCTAAAATAAATTTCAGTTTCAAGCACAATCTACTTTAACAGGAGTTGCTCAAGCTGTTGTAGATAAAGTTGTAAGAATTCATCATGATATTAATATGAGTAATTTACAAAGTACAGTAACTACTGGTAAACGAGATGATATAACTCTTCTTGTACGAAATTTTAATTTTCCGCTCCCTCATGCATTAAAAAGTCCAACTAATCAATCAGTCAGATTTAATCCAATTGTTGAATCTGTTCCAATTATAACAATGCCAGAAAATGACTATTCAAGTACAGGAATTACAGAAGAAAATTCCGATTTATCGACAACTGAAACTTCATCAACATCAGATATATATCCGAATGCAAAATCAACAAACAGAAACACTAGGATTAAGTCTTATGTTAATTTTTCTGAATATTATGAAAATGTTGAAAAGAGACGACGAGAAGGAACATTACCAGAAGGTATAAATTTTTAGAAAATATTATGATATTAAGTATACATTATATCTATAATAAATATAATAAATATATAGAAATTACATGTATATAGATAATAATTTGCTTTGCATATATGTCTTTTAAATAAAAGTTAGAAATATAATTATTTATTCAAATTGTATATAATAAATAGTAAAAATGAATTTGATGATAACAATTATGTTATACATAACATTATTAAATCTTTGACTTTTTACATTTTTATGTAGAAAAAACATATATAATTCATTTTTATGTAGAAAAACATATAATTTATATATTAAACATATATAATAAAAAAATTTTGACATCAAAACATTTTGAAATGAACTATTTTCCACATATGAGATTAAATAAAGAAAGAAAAAAAAATTTGTAATATTACAATATTACAAATTTTATGAAATATATTACTTGTATATCTAAATTACAAATATTTTGTTGGATTAGATTTAAGTCTTTCAAATGCAGCTTTTTCAAGACATTCTCTATGATCAGGATGAGCAATTTGAATTAATGCATTTGCTCTTTGACGTAATGTTTTACCAAAAAGATTTGCTATTCCATGTTCAGTAACTATATAGTGCGCATGTGCTCTCGTTACCACAATTCCACCACCTATTAAAAAGACTTCAATTGTATTTATGTATAAAATATATTTTTATGTTAAAAAATTTATTTTGTTTTAAGAAATTTTTTTTTTTATAAATATAATTATAAATAATATAAAATTTTATTTCATACCAAGTTTAATTATAGGCTGAATTTTACTTTCTCCTTTACTCGTTACTGAAGGGAATGCGATTATAGCTTTTCCTCGACCATCTTGAGCCATTGCTGCACCTTGGATAAAATCAAGCTGACCACCAAATCCAGAATACAATTTACAGCCTAAACTGTCTGAACATATTTGACCAGTAATATCCATTTCTATACAAGAATTAATGGCTGTCATTTTCGGTTGTTGCGATATTATTCGAGGATCATTAACATAATTAATTGCACGCATTTCTATACAAGTGAATAAATATTATGTTATTTATTGAATTTAAAACATTTATAAAAAAATTTTAAAGAATTTTATGAATTACACACCTACAAATGGATTATTATGTAAAAAATCATATACTCTTTTGGTACCAATTGCTAAAGAACTGACCATACGTCCTCTGTGCTTTATTTTCATTTTATTTGAAACATTGCCTCGTTCTGCTAAATCTACCATTGTATCACCAAGTATTTCTGTATGAACTCCCAAATCCTTATGATTACCAAGAGAACAGAGGACAGCATCAGGTATGTTACCAATTCCAATTTGTAAAGTTGCCCCATCATCTACTAATCTTTGTGCAATGATTTTGCCAATTTCTTGTTCAATTTCATTTGGTGGAGTACTAGCTACACATGGTAAAGGACAATCATATTTAACAGCCCAATCAATGTGACTTGAGTGAATAACAGTATCTCCAAATGATCTTGGCATATGTTCATTTACTTGAGCTAAATGAAAAAAAAGAAACATTTATTATTCTTTAAATTTATTATTATTTCATTATTTATTATTATTATTTCATTTATTATCAAATGCTTACTGACCGATGATAACTTTAGCTGTACTAATCGCAGCACGTGTACAATCTACGCTTACACCTAAAGAACAGAAACCACGAGCATCTGGCACACTGACGTGAATTAATGCAACATCTGGAAAAATTCTTCTCTCGTAAAAAAGTTTTGGTACTTCATGAAGAAATATTGGAATATAATCTGCTCTTCCTTCATTAACAGCTTCTCTAAGATTAGCACCAATGTAAAAGCTTACAGATCTAAAATGTTCTAAAAAAACAATTATGATTTTATAATCGTAATACAATATATATATATATATATATATATATATATATAGTGATAATTTACGCTTAATATTTTGAATTAAAATTTAATAATGTTTTTACAGAAATAATATTTTTACAGAATACTGTACTCTCAAACTCAGGACTTGAAAATGGTGCATCTCCTTCAAGACCCATATGAATTAATCGTACACCACGTAGATTATTACAAACACCATGCTCAGTCATAGCTCGTATTAATTCATTAGGTGTTGCTGCACCTCCTTGTATAAAAACTAAATGCTCTGGAAAATCACACACACAGTCATAGAATGATCATAGAATATATTTTAGATAAAATGAAATAAAAAAAAAAATCATTATTAAATACCTGAATTAATAATTTTTATTGCATCTTCTACACAAACCCATTTTGGACATCGTTTTAAAGGCTGTAAAGGTTCTCGGATACTTATATACCTTAAACCGCACATATTAAAAGGTTTTGTTGGTAAAATTTTACCAAATGTTAACTCCAAATTTCGACGAAAATTGAGACCGAACATTTTGATAAAAGAAAATATGACACGTCACAAAATATATAAAAAATTGAAATTTGCTAAAATTTGTTGATTCAGTAAAGCATATACAGCAATTACATCGAAATTTGGATGAAACATAATCTAAAAAATTTTCTTTAATCTTAAACGTCAATTTACGTCAAATCACATTAGACCCGTTGCCATCTCCACGCTTAGTATTTGAACATCGATTTACCGGTATTCGATTTTTCAATTTTCTCGATATACGTTCATTTTGTACTTTATTCAGTATAAATGGAAGAAATTATGACAGAATAAAATTCTATATACATTTTATTTTTATTTTATTATTTCAAATGCCACGTATTTTCAATTATTACAATAATTGCATTTTATATGGAAACGTTCTCAAATTTTATGTAAAAGGTATTTGTTATCATATACTGTTTTAGTTATTGTTAATCACATTTTGATTGTATCTGTAACTCGTTTAAAATGAAAGTTTTTTCATTCTTATTTTGGTGATGAATATTTTTTATTCACTTAAAATAAAAATTATACTTATTCAAAATACAGTTTGCTATAAAATGATGTTAAAATTCTATTTTTGATATTTTTTCTCTGACTTTATGTTATTATGTTCAATAAAAAAGTATATATCGTACATAATTATGAAATAATTTACGATAGTTTTGCTTGATGCACGCAGTTATTTGTGCTTATAAGAACTATCATGAAATTCTATTTAAAAAAATCCTTTAAATATTATTTTTAGTAAAATGTTTATGGCGCTGGCATCATTTTTAAACGTTCAAAAGCTGCTTTTTCTAACGCTTCTCTATGATCAGGATGGGCAATTTGAATTAGTTCATATGATCGCTGTTGAAGACTTTTACCAAATAAACTAGCAATTCCATATTCTGTGACAACATATCGAACAATTGCTCTATTTGTAACAACACCAGAACCTTAAAATAAATGATACAGTTAAAAATATATAATTAAAGTAAAAATAATTAGATAATAAAAAGATAATAAAAAGATCATAATTATTTACCTAATTTTAAAACGGGTTGAATTTTACTTTCACCCTTTGAGGTAATAGATTGTAGTGCAATGATAGATTTTCCTTGACGATCGTTACTAAGAGCTGCACCTATAACGAAATCTAATTGTCCTCCAAATCCAGAATACATTCTGGTTCCAATACTATCTGCACAAATTTGTCCAGTGATATCAACTTCTATACACGAATTAATAGCAGTCATCTTCGCTTGTTTGGCTACTATTTGTGGATTATTTACATAATTCACTGCCAACATTTCTATAAAATTAACCAAGTAATAAATTATACAAGATCAATTATAAAGAAAAAATCGATATAAAATTAACTCACCTATAAAAGGATTATCATGCATAAAATCATATAACTTTTCTGAACCAATGCAAAATGAACCAACAATTCTACCTTTGTGCATTGGTTTGCAATTATTTGTTATACATCCCTTATTTACTAGATCTACTACACCATCGCTAAACATTTCACTATGAATTCCAAGATTTTTATGATTACCCAGAAAGGATAATACCGCATCTGGTATGCTTCCAATACCCATTTGCATAGTGGCTCCATTTTCTACTAAATTTTCGGCAATATATTTACCAATTTGTTGTTCTTCTTTTGATGGTGGATGTGAAGGATGTACTGGAAGTGGTGTGTGATGCTCGACGGCAAAATCTAAATGGCTGACATGAATCGATGCATCGCCAAACGTTCTAGGCATATGCTTGTTTACTAATGCTATAAATAATGATATCCCCCCCCAAAAAAAAAGAAAAGAAAAAAAAATTAGTGAAAAGATAATTTTGAAGTAGAATGAATTTAAAAAATTTTGAAAATTTACCTACGATGTACTTTGCATGGCTCAACGCGGATCGTACACAATCTACGCTAGTACCCAATGAACAGTATCCTTTATCATCAGGAGGACAAACTTGTACAAGAGCAATGTCAGGTTTAAGATATTTTTCTTCAAACACTCGTGGGATTTCATGTAATAAAATTGGAATGCAATCGGCATGTCCTGCATTAACAGCTGCTCTTACATTACCTCCAATGAAAAAGCTGACGGACTTAAAATGTTCTGCCAATAATATAAAATATCAAAAAATTGAATATTGCTATTTTTATATGATTTAATTCTTATTTTTTTGATATTAATTAGAAATGATTTTTAATATAATACAACTTAAACAAATAAACTATTCTAAAAAATAAATATGTATATAAATGAACATTTATCACTATGATATTTGATAAAATAGTAAAAATTAAATTTATTATATTTATATCATCATATTTGAGATACACACAATTACTTACTTGCATTTTCTGCTTTAGCGAATGGTGCAGGACCTTCGAGATGCATGTGACATAATCGTACATTTCTCACATCAGATCGAACGCCATAATCGGTCATTGCCCTTAATAATTCAATTGGTGTTGCCGCTGCACCCTGAACGAATACAAGCTGATCTGAAAAATAAAAAGATTAAACTCCTCCTATCTTCTTAGATTTGAAACATTTTTAATTCAGATACTATTAAGAATTTATAAATAATAAATATGCATACAATACATATAAAATATAATTATTTGTGTCATATAAGTGCTTTCATGATGTTAATACTACAAAAAAGTTTTAGATATATGATTATAAAAAACTATAAAAATTATAATTATTGTGAAAACATTTTTATTTTCTCCGTCTAATCTAATAGAGCCGATAATTATCGGATATTCAGATAATTGAAAAGTCTGAAAGTTAGAAAATTTTATTTCTTAGATTCTTAGATCAATAAATAGTTATAAACATATTGCAATACTATTTTTAAAATACAATATATGCATTATTTAATATATATTTAGAAAAATGTTATAAATATTTATTGAGTTGAATTTTTTTGGAGAAATGTGAATAATATGATATATATGAAAATATGATATAAATGAATAATACAATCCAATTATATTTCAGAAATTTTTTTTTTTATTTTCACAAGAATGGAATTGACTATTTATTATTATATATTGTTTTTTGCTTATCAAAAGATGGAATAATTCGAAGATCGGATAATTATATAAATTATAATATTTCAAAAGGAATATTCTTTATTTAAAATTTATCATATAATTTTCAGCTGAATATTTGTATTTTTTATGAATTAATAATAAGTTTAATTTTAAAGTTTTTTCCTTTGATAACAAAAAGATAAATAAAAATTTTACTTACAAAATAAACTTTTTATCTGATGATTTTAAATGGTTATTTTAATAAAAGTTTACAATTATTATAATTTATATAAACGCTTTTACAATTACATCTATCTGATTGTACACAAGAAAAATTTATTAATTTTAATTATTAATCGTGGCAATATTAAAAAATATTTTTCATAAAATTTTATTTATTGAAATTTATAAATGATAAAGATTCTAAATGAAAACAATTTATAAATGAAATTTAAACCATTATGCATTTGATTGAAACCAATGTTTGCTTGCGCATAATTGTATGTTTAATTTATGTTCCAAGGTTAAAACATTGTATGACAATTTTTAATTCAATAAACTAATATTTTCAATATGTTAATATTTAAACTCAATCGGTCGATTAAAATTAAAAATTTTTGATCGATAAACAATCGCATAAATACGATCAATACATACATATACATATATATATTCATGTATTAAATAATTAGTTTAATGATTTTTGATAAAGTTAACTAATATAATGATAAATTAAATAATAAATTAATAAATATAATAATAATAATAAATTAACTATAATTTGATGATAAATAAAAAAATTAAGTTAACAAAATTTATTTTAATAAATAATAATTATTTATTAATAAAATATATTCATAATTAATCAATAAAATATATCATAATAATCAATAAAAAATATTCATAAAATCATGTAATTTAAAAGTTATATTTATATGAAATAATATTTTATAATGAAATATTTCGAATATTTTATAATCAATTATAAAAAATAATATTTTAAACATTTTGTATATAAATTGTATTGAATGTATACATAAAAAAAATCCAAAAAATATCATAATAAAAAATAATAATAAAAACAATATATTATTTGAAAATTTTATATTCATAACTTTATTATAATTTGAAATTTTAATATTCAATTTGATGAAATAAATAGATATAAAAATTATTAATAATGCAAAAGATATTATCATATGACAAAAATAAAATTCGATAATAAATTAAATTTAAATAAAATTTTTTTTACACTTGCATTACATATGCTATTTTAATAACGTCATTGATATTTAGATTTATTCTTGTAATATTTCGAGGTTAGTTTTTAAAAAATAAAATTTTTATCTAATATGGCATCCAAAAATTGATACTTATTTTATGAATGAAATAATAAAATATAATACTTAAATTATTAATAATAAATTAATATATTATGAAAAAAATAATTACCTGAATCTAAATTTGCTTTTTCAATAGCTTCATCAGCAGTCTTGACCCAGCACGGTTCCTTGTCTAATATTGGCATAGAAGGTTCATTTACGTATGTAAAATAAGTCTTTTTCGATGTTTGAACGCAAAGACGAAACGTACTTGTTATAGTTTTAATCGTTTTAGATAAGTTGAGTATTCGTTTAAGAGCCGCCATAGTCCAATATTTTTCTGTCAGTGAAACACGAATACACAATATCGTTTGAAATGATAAGAATTATTTTATAAATAAATTGTACAAAATACAAAAGATTCGAAATTTTAAAAAATAAATTAAGAAATTCAAAATAATAGTTTTATGAATTAAGATTTTTATATCCACATATATATTCTTGAACCACCTGCCACCATATCTCACTGCACACTCGCGCCTTCTCGGCGCGAAATAATCGCTATCAGGTCCGTAACTATGGTATCTATAAAAATGGTATTATAAATGAATCAAAACTAAAAATTTTACAAAAGTTTTACATTTTATTTTTCAAGATTATTAAAAATGGATACTATATTTTTTATATATCAAATCTAAAATATGAATCGTAATCATTTTTCAGTTAGATTTCGAGTTTTTAATGTTCTATTAAAAAAAAATTTTTAATTTTATTTTATTATTATTATTTTATAAATAAATAAAGAAATAAATGAATAATTTAAGATTTAAATAAATAATAAAAGTGTATTAGAAATTTTTTTATATTTCTAATATATAAGTTATTAATCATTATAATTATTATTAAAATTAAATGTTTACAATTGAATAAACCGCTATTATAAAAAACAAATAACAATCTAAATAAAGTTTATGTATATAATAAAAATATTATAATTTCATGAATATTCTTTTATGAATAATTTTTAATTTTTTTTTATAATACATTTAATTATAATAAGTAATTTTATAAAAAATTTTGATAATTGATATGCAATGAATTACTTAGTATAAGCCACGTGATCGCACGTGCCATTGGTTGTGTCTTTGTCAGACATTTGTTTTTCAATATATCTATCAAGCAAAATAAAATTCATTTAAACATAATCAAATAATTTTTTAATATAAAAAAGTATATAATTAATATATAATAAATATATTTTTTATTTTCATAATGCATTTAATTAAATTAATTATAATTGTTTATTTATAAAAATATAATACTTTTATTAACTTGAAATTTGAACGTATCCCCACTCTTAATATTTAGTCTATCTCTTTTCATCGAAGTAGTATAACAGTATGTCCTACTGTTTGATCGACCTAAGAGACTAGGAGAGGCACGTCAACAAGATGTATCCAAAAACTATCGGAGAACGTCAAGCTAATAAAGAACATGTATTGGCTGTTTCAAGAGATTTTATATCACAGCCACGACTTAGTAAGTATTTATATGTATTATTAAAATAAATATTTATTAAAATCCAAAAAAAAAAAACTTAAAATATAAATGTTATTAAACGGCATAAACTGGGCGTAGCAGATCGATTTAGACATAGTCAGCTGATTCTGAATATGTTTGTTTTTTAATCATAATAAATAAAAAAAATATAAATTTAATATATAAAAATATTTTGAACATTCGCATATTTATAAAATTTAATTACAAATCTGAAAATTTTTTTATATGAATAGACATCCATCATGTGACTAGATGCAGCACTGATATGATAATTTAATGTAAAGTTTATTATGATATAATATTATAAAAATTATTTTATTTTATATTATAAAAATTATACATAGACTTATATTTGATATATATTTGTTCAAATAAAATTTTATAATATATATTAAATTAATTAATAATAACTAATAATAATTAAAGTTTTTGTTATATTTTAAATCAATAATTTTTTTTTATTTTTATAGCATATAAAACCGTCTCAGGTGTAAATGGACCATTGGTAATATTAGATGAAGTCAAATTTCCAAAATTTGCAGAAATTGTTCAATTAAAACTTGCTGATGGATCTACAAGATCTGGTCAAGTATTAGAAGTATCAGGTTCTAAAGCAGTTGTTCAAGTGTTTGAGGGTACTTCTGGTATTGATGCAAAAAATACTCTTTGTGAATTTACTGGTGATACTCTTCGGACTCCTGTATCTGAAGATATGTTGGGCCGTGTTTTTAATGGATCTGGAAAACCAATTGATAAAGGTCCTCCTATTCTTGCGGAAGATTTTTTGGACATTGAAGGACAACCAATTAATCCATGGTCACGTATTTATCCTAAAGAAATGATTCAAACAGGTATCTCAGCTATTGATGTTATGAATTCTATTGCTCGTGGGCAAAAGATTCCTATTTTCTCAGCTGCTGGTTTACCACACAATGAGGTATTCTATATTAAATATTTAAATTATAAGATATTTTAAGATATTAATATACAATTATGAAATATCAATTATTATGCAATTATTTAAATTGATATATACTTTATAGATTGCTGCACAAATTTGTCGTCAAGCTGGTCTTGTAAAGTTACCTGGAAAATCAGTTTTGGATTCTCATGAAGATAATTTTGCTATTGTATTTGCTGCTATGGGTGTGAATATGGAAACTGCTCGTTTTTTTAAGCAAGATTTTGAAGAAAATGGTTCTATGGAAAATGTGTGCCTCTTTTTAAATTTAGCTAATGATCCTACTATTGAAAGAATTATCACTCCACGTCTTGCTTTAACTGCAGCTGAATTTTTGGCTTATCAATGCGAAAAACATGTTCTAGTTATACTAACTGATATGTCCTCTTATGCTGAAGCTCTTCGTGAAGTATCAGCTGCTCGTGAAGAAGTACCAGGACGACGTGGTTTTCCTGGTTATATGTATACAGATTTAGCAACTATATATGAACGAGCTGGTCGAGTAGAAGGTCGTAATGGTTCTATTACCCAAATTCCAATTTTAACTATGCCAAACGACGATATTACTCATCCTATTCCTGATTTAACTGGATATATTACTGAGGGTCAAATTTATGTTGATCGTCAACTTCATAATAGACAGATTTATCCACCTGTTAATGTACTTCCTTCACTATCTCGACTTATGAAGTCTGCTATTGGTGAAGGATGGACACGAAAAGATCATTCTGATGTGTCTAATCAATTGGTATGTTTTATATTTTATAATTTTTAAAAAATAAATATATGTATATATGTATGTTTTAAAATATATGTATGTACTTTATATAAATATTATAATTTTAATAATGATCTTATTTTAGTATGCTTGTTATGCTATTGGAAAAGATGTACAAGCTATGAAAGCTGTTGTTGGTGAAGAAGCTTTAACACCAGATGATTTGCTATATTTAGAATTTCTTTCTAAGTTTGAGAAAAATTTTATTTCTCAGGGAAGTTATGAAAATCGTACGGTCTTTGAATCATTGGATATTGGTTGGCAGTTATTACGTATTTTTCCTAAAGAGATGCTCAAACGAATTCCCACTAATATTCTCGCAGAATTTTATCCAAGAGATTCACGTCATTAGTTTTTTTTTCATATTTACAATTAAATCTTTTTTGTTTAAACTATATAAAAAGAATTAGAATGAAAAAAATGGAAAAATGGTCTGATTCTCTGGTTTTTTAATGATTAAATTGAAAAAAATCAAATATTTATATAGTTTTAAAAATATTAAATCAATAAAATTGCAATATTTCTGTTTATCAAATATAAATTAAAATTGGAATTAATATGTTTTAATAAATTATAATTAATATGTTTTATAAATTAACTTAGAAATTAACTGAATAATAATGTTAAGTGTGTAGTACAGAAATATATAGAGAATTACATTATATAATTTAACATTAATTCTATATTGTTAAAATGTAATTAAAATAATAATAGATATTTTGTTTTGTGCGAATAATCACTTATAACAAGTGATTGTGTAAAATATAATATATTATTCAGTATTAACATAAAAAAGAAATATCATTGTATAACTTTATATTTTTTGGTTTCACATTCCAATATAAAATTTTCATCTATAGAAATATTATACTCAATTAAAAGAAAAAAAAATAAACGTTATTTGATGTTGATAAAAATGTTTAATCTTTTATGCAAAGATTGTTCAATCCATATTTTATAAATGTATCTTTGTTGTTTTAATATTGTAAAAATAATATATTTGTCTCAAATAAATATGTAAAACATACCATAAATGTACCTATGCTAAAATATTTTATTTGTTTTGTTATTAATGTAATTATTATATTGAATGAATATAAATAATAATAAAATACATCTACATAAAATATATATATAAATATTATATATAAACAAAAATTTTTTATATTTCAATAATTAATATCTAGTAATTCAGCATACATAATCCTAACAATAACTAATGTTTTATATATATGTTTTACGTATCTATCTTATTTTTTACATATTCGATATTATATAATTTATTTTTGTAAACAAATTGCATTATTATATTATATATATCATCATTTTTTCATATTTTTTTTTTGTTTTGTTATATTAGGGATGTAATTCAATAATTCAACATTATCAAAGTTCTTAGGATTATTGAAATTCTAATATAAAATATTAAGTATAAAGCACATATTTAAATATATTTATGTTCAATATATATTTTTTATTATCTTACAAGAGAATAGAATGAGTCAAGAAAATATGATTATAACAACATCTTATAAACTATATATGTTCATTTTGTGCAAAACATCTTGTTATATATTTTCAGAATTTGTGTTTTTTTTAATGAATTAAAAATATTTTATAATTAATGGTCAGGTTTTAGCTGCTAATTGATGAACTGCTAATTGAACACGTAGTTCTATACAAGCATCTTTTTCTTCTATAATACTGCGAATTAAAGTAGTCATTTTTTTCTAAAATAAAAATACAAGTAGAATATTAATTTAAAATTTATAGATTAAATTATAAATTTGTATAAGTACCTCAAGTAACTGATTTTCTTTAACTAATTGTATCATAGCTGTCATCTCTGCTTCATTCGGCGAATGTGCTCGTTCTTTTGGTTTTTTTTTTTCAGGACCACGTTCTATTAACATTTCCATTAACCGTTTAATTTCGTTCTTTTCTTGATTTATTCGCGATTTTAGTAATGCTTGCATATTCAATAATTCTTCATAAATTAAACTCTCTCTTAATTTGTCAATAGCATTTTCATGTTCAAGTTCTACTGCTGAAACTGAAATAAATGTAATAAAAATGATATCATAATGATATCATGAATTGATTTTAATCATCATTCATACCATTTTCATTTGTTACAGATGAAATATTTTCTTGTTCATTAAATTGTGGTATAATTGTAGATATCTCGGTAGAATCAACAATATCTTTATCATGTGCATGAACATTTCGTTCATTTTGAATAATATTTATATTGGTTATATTGGTTGATTCTTTATTGTCTTCTAGAATATGTGCTTTACTATCCTTTTTCAATGTTAATGTAGATATTGATTGAGTTTCCGGTTTTGCATAGTCTATATCTTCTTCTTCTGTTTTTGTTTTTTGTATATTTAATTCTACTGCAATTTCATCATTTGATTTTACTTCTTCATCTAAACTTTTTTGCGCACCTTCCATCTTTTGAACCGTTTTATATTTTCTCTAAAGAGAAAAAAATTGATGTTATATTTTGCAATTTTTATTGATATTTTTAAATAAAAAAATAAATATTAAAATAGAACCTTCAATTGCGTTATCATACGTTGCACTTCCCATAATTGTTCTTCGCGTAATTTTGTAACAAAACCTGCATTCATTTGCATGTGTATTTGCGAAAGTAATGATTCTTGCTTAGATAATTCAGCTGCTATGCTTTCTACAGAATCTGGAAGATTAATACTTCCAGATGAAAGTGGCGGCACATATTTCGTTAATTTTACATTTGGAAAAAGAGCTTTGCAATGAAACAATAAAGCTAATAATAATCTATGACTCATTTGTAATACGGGACTTAATGTCATTGAAATGGTTTGAGCATTCATTTTAGTAGTTTTTTCCTGAAATGTTAATATGAAATATATTTTATGTAAGAAATATATATATTATATATAAAACAGTAAGTATATTTTTTCAACATACTCGTATTGTGACATGATCTAAATGTAATATAATCCATGCTAAAAGAACATTATTACATTTAGGAAGCTGCTGAGTTAAATGTAATAATTGTGCTTCTCTTTGAGCAACATCTTTTGTAGATGCTGCTTGTTCAAATTTAGATATCATTTCACTGCTTTCTAAGACTGGCTCTGGTAGTTCCCTATATTATTAAAACTTTAATCTTGTAATATTTCATTTTAAAATATTTATTAGTATATATATATATATATAGTATTTAATATAGTGATATACAAACCTAAGAAATAATATTAATAAACTTGTAGCTACTGTAGGTTCAAATTCAAATAAATTTACAAATTCTCTATGATTATATAACTTTTTTAAATGCTGAACTTTTGATTTCACTCCTGGAACTTTATATAGACCTTCTATATTCATTCCATGTTCTTCTATAAAGTCAATGCAATCTCTCACAACTAAAGGTAAATCAATGCCATCATGACAACGACTTCTTTCCACTGCTAAATGCAGACTAACACCAAATACTGGTTGCCCCTCTAGATAGATAATTATTCAGAAATTTAATTCTATATACTATCAAATAATTTTATATTATACATTTTACCTCCAATATCTAACCCATCTTCTGCACTGTGTTTTCCTTTTTTACGATCTTTAAATTTTTGTTTTGTTTTATCTTTGTCTTTTTCTTTACGTTTTTCTTTCTCTATATCTTTTTCATCCTTATCTTTTTTCTTTTTATCTTTCTCCTTTTCACCATCTTTTTCTTTACCCTCTTTTTCTCTGGATTTTTCACGTTTTTCTTTCTTTGATGGAAACTTGAAAGCTTTAGTCTTTTTTGATTTTGAAGGACTTCTGTGAGTTAAATCATATGCTAATTCAAGTAATAAATATAATAATTGTATACAATATATGAAAAGATATTTGTTTAATATATTATAAAATATAACTTTTATATTTTAATATAATTATTCACTTTTTATTATATATTTTATTGTATATATAGAAGTAATACTTTCACAATAAAATATACATTCATAATAGAAATAAGAATTAAAATAATTAACAATATAAAATCATAAATATTTGTGATAAGTTTATTTTCCATTTTAAAATGACTATTTTTAAATATTTTTAAAATATTAATAGATACTACTAAACATTTTAATCAATACAACTAATTTTAAATTAATAAGTTAAGTAATTAATATATCAGTGCTAACAATATATAAAAATTAAAATTACTTGATAATATTTATATATCTATATTCTTTATTACAAAAAATATTAATTAAATATAAAAATATTATTGTAAACATAAAATAAATAATTTAATATGAACTTAATTTTTATTTTAAAAATAAAAAATATATAAAACAATTTATAAAAGTTATTAAATAAATGAATGTTTATAACTTATAAAATTTATAAAAAATTATATAAAAAAAAAACATACTTTGTTTCCTGATCTTCATCAGGTGAACTTTCTCCTTCTAAAGTGGCATATCCTCGATCTTTTCGATCTTTTTTTTCTTTTCGTTTACCACCAAGGAGTTCCTTTTTAGAGTGTTTCTCATGTCCACCTTCATCACTAACTAAAAATATATAAATATAATATATAAAATATATAAATATAATTACTAATTATTTTTATAAATATAAATACAATATTTTAAATAGTTAATTAGAAGGTATTTGAGAAAATAATTTATAATTTGATTTATGATTTCTATATAACCTCTTTCTTAAAATAACTATTATGCAAAAGAAATTAGATAATTTGATTATTGATAAATTTACGTACAATCGCTCTCGTTACTTTTTTTAGCTGATTCTGATGCATATAATCCAGGAAATTCTTTTTCTACATCTGGACTTTCGAAATCCATCCTTCTTGGCTTGTTACAATGTTTTAACAGGCTTAAAAATCTTGATACCAAACTATCGATATTTCATTCGAGCTTTTCTCGATTGTCAAAAATTATTCGACCTTCAGATCGATTATCTATATTCGAATTCTTATACGCGACATATATTTTTAGTTCATATCGCGTATTTCGGAAGGCATCCATGGTTTAAAAACATGACCATCAGCTTCTTTACTAGCCATATAAGTGAAATATGCTTGCTTAAATGATATCGAAGGAAATTTTCCATATTCCATTGAATTCCACATTGATCGTCCATATAAAACGCGTTCTTTACGAACTTGACTATAAAACATAGCTTTTTTCATTGCAATCTATAAATGAATAAAATTATAATTGTATAATTAAAATAATAATCTAATTGAAATTTTTTTGTATTTATTGTTTCAAAAAACCTTTTTTTTTATTTTTTGTGCATCATCGAATGTTAAATTCCTAAGTTGAATTTTTGTCATTTTTAATAATGGAGTTCGAACTTCAGATTTAGCGGTTATTGTATCTAACTTGTTCCATAAGTTAATACTCTTACGTAATAATTTCTCTAAAAATATTACATAGTAAATAATAATTTATATATCGAA